AAAGATCCCTTAGGCTAACCAAAAAACACCCTGCCCCCCGTGGGTCCACATCCTTTCTACGTACTATACAATTCCAATCACCCCCCACGATTGTTACCGAGGGAAAGAGATCTCAAATAATAAACCAAAACATCACGCACAAATTCATTCTTCACCCGTACATCACGCTCCGCCGGCGCATAACACACAAACCACTGCCAGTCGCTCACCTCTCCACATCCATCTACCCGGAGTACCCTAACCCTCCTTCCCCTCCCCACATCTAATTACAACAAACTGGCTTGTTCTCCCGAATCAGAATTCCAACCCCACCTTTCAAACGGTCCGAATATGCCACAAACACACGATATCTGTCCACATTCAAATTTCCCGACCCGCCTTAAAGTTATGCTCCTGCATGAATACAATATCTATGGCATGACGCCTCAGAAACCCCTGGAGCCACAAACGCTTCACATTCATACACAACCCATTTACATTCACAGTCATAAAACCTGAAACCTTCTTGAAGGGTTTTTACACGCTGCCCTGTAACTCCTTTCATAGACACGTCACCAGCCTTCCTATTTTTCCCACCATGCTCACCACAGTGAGCTCTATTCCCTCCCCGGTCGAACACCTGACCGGACACACCTGTGGCGCCTCCACTCACCACATCAGCCCACGGTTTCTTCCCCGGTCTTTGCGCCGGGGTCAAGACATCATCGGAATCAGAGTGCGTTGCCGCCCTCTTCTGCCGAACACTCTCTGCATCCATGGGTCTGGTCGGGGATGCTCACAATGCACCTCCGGCCGCCACCTCGACCACGGTCACCATTCCCGTAGAAGAGGCACCTGCAGTCAGCTGGCTGTCTCTCCTCTCGTCCTCACTCTCCTCAGGTCCCACCACCGATTGTACATCATTTTCCAGCTCTCTTCGTCTCCAAACTTTGGAGTCAACTGCTCCAGAGCCACATCCTCTGCTCGTTCTCCTCCACTCAACTTGGTCTCCCCTTCCACCAAAGCGGAGACTGTAGATTCTACAGGCATTGATGGGCTCGACCCCACCGTCGGGAACTCTCTCTCCACCTCCTCGCTCCAAGACGAACTATGGCCCTTTACAGGCGTCCCGCTGGCAGGCCCCGCCTTCGGGTCAGGCCCTCGCTCCGTCCTTCTGTCTGCAACCTGTCGTTGCTGCTGCCTCTCACACTGTGCTGCCATATGGTCATAAGCACCACATAGCCTGCAGGTCTTGCACTGCCCTGCGTAATACACCATCACTTGCGTCCTAAAGTCGTCCAGGATGACAAACGACGGGATGGGATGCCTCAGCGTCATCTTTAGGTTGAACGTACCCTCCGGCCAGCCGGTGTACGCCCCATCCACCCAGGTACCTGCCGTTGCCAGATGCACAGTACCATAACGTTCAAAAACGTTCCGTATATCTGCCTCGTCAGCTTCAAAAGGCACGTTGCGTACCTTCACCCAAGTGTAGTGTCGCGACACGTCAATTAAACGAACTCGTATTGCCGAGTTTACGTCCACACAGCCATCTTGATACTGCTCCACCAGGCGCTCATACACTGCCGTCGATCGTAGCTTAACGAATATTCGGTAAGCCCCGTTGAGTGATACTCCATACAAATCTTGATCAGCAATGCCGTATGTGTCGCGAATAATCAAAGGTAGAAGAACTGTGTGGACTGAGGCGTTAACTACACCCCGCACTAATCAAAGCACACAGTGTTGACGCGCCTTCTGATAGTCTGCGCCATCTTGTGAAAATCAATCTGCGCAGGAAGGCCTCTCAACCAGGAGCGTGTGCGCAGCACAACCTCACAGCAATAAAGCGATGAGGTCAATGACTCTCCCCCTAGTACTATGATTGCTTTGGTTCCCAACCTTGACAAAATTGACAGCAAGATATTCTGGACACTGTTTGTGAGCAATTTTATAAACATGATTTAGCTTCAGTTGTTTTACTGTCTTCAACATTCAGCATATCCAACTGCTGTAATTCATCCTGGCCTACATGTTCTCTTGGTCCCAGCCCCAGGATGAATCTTACGATTTTGTTCTGGGTGATTTGCAGTCCATCTTTCAGCCTTTTTGTCAAGGCAGAGTACCAAAAAGAGCAAGCAAATCCATATGGCATTGTATAAGGGCTAGACATAGGGTCCTGCGAGCCTCAGTAGGTAGACACTGTGCTTGTCTATACAGGATCTTCAGTCTGGCATTCGCTTTCTTTACTACACTGTTCCCTATCAATTCTCCTGACATGCATGGGTCAAAGGGGATTCCCAAATATTTACTTATGAAACCAAAGTGATGGGCTCCCCATTACATTGAACATTAAAGTTATTTACCCTTCTCAGTTTGTTTCGTGCCAAAGAGAATGGCTTCAGTTTTCCCTAGGTGTAATGATAGTTTGTTGTCTACTAACCATTTGCTGCAGGACTCCAGTTCCAGTGTTAAAACATTAGCAATATCTTGTGGGTCTTTACCTGACACTAACAGAGCACTGTCATCTGCATACAGTAGGAGTTTGCACTTGACACTGATAGGCATATCATTGACATAACATAAGAATAATAAGGGACCCAGAATACTACCTTGGGGAACTCCACATGTTATCGGCAGGGGTTCTGATTCTGTTTTGTTGATTTTGACTATTTGTCTCCTGTTGCTAAGGTAGGACTTAAACCAGTCTACAGAACCTATACCGATAGCTTGAAGTTTATTACATAATATATTGTGGTTGACAGTATCGAAGGCCTTTTGCAGGTCTAAGGTTACCATACCTATGAGGTTCCCCTTTGACATTTCAGTTCTCAGGTAATCCATCAGATTAATAAGGGAGGTGTCGGTTGAGGTAGGATCTTCTGAGCCCGATTGATAGCTATGGAGAATTTGCCTGTTGTCATTAAGGTACTTAAACTACTTGAGGAATACACCGCAATCTCCAGAATTTTAGATATTATACTGAGTATATAACAGGTCTTAGTTGCCTTACATCAGACCTATTATTTTTCTTGAGATAGGAGTACCTAGGCACTCCTTGAACCCTCCGGTACGGTATTAGTGGTTATTGATAGAATTTATTATGTGAGCAATAGGGATGACAGTCAGATGCACCATCTTTTAGGACTTAGACGGGATGTTATCAGGGCTTGCTCATTAGTTGGGTTTACCTGCTTGTTCTTTTTGAATGAAGTCGTGAGATACACTTACTAGTGACACTGTTTGGGTTACCACTTTATTGGTATTAGTATGTTGAAATTATCAGAGTCTGTGTTAAAGGTATTTGATGCAGCTGTTGTTTTACTTACTAGTGTTGATGCAACAGATGTTTAGTAGGAATTAAAGCAATTTGCCACCTTAGATGTTTCGTGGCATACCTCATTATCGATAGGGAGTACTAGGTAGGGGACTATTACTGGCTTTATGGCTTATACCCCAACTGTTTTTAGTTGTTGCAGAGTCTTTCTGGGGTTATGTTATACTCTTAAATTTTTGTGCAATAGTGTTTGCCTTTTGCTCCTTTTATTACGCCTTGTACTCTGTTCCTCACCCTTTGGAATTCTTTTAGTGCTGCAATATCCTGTCTTGTTTGGCTTTATAATCTTTTAGCAGCTGGTCTCTGAAGTTCATATTATATATATCTCAGTAGTCATCCAGGTCAGTTCTTAGTTATAATCCTTACTCTTTAACTGGGCAATATTATTAGAATGTAGTGAACATTGTTTTGGAATTTTTCCCAGGCATTCGTTTACGTCCGTTGCAACTTATCTCTGTCCAGTCACCAATGATGTAGCCTATTTTTACCAGTGTTTCTTTACTGTAGTTTCTAGTTGACCTCATTTTTATTGTCCTGTGTAGGCCTATCCTATCCTAGTGATTTTCTGGTGCAGTAAATGATGAAATGATCACTAGACCCCCCCATGTGTTATCGACGCTGAATGACTAAATAGTCTCAGCGCGGATACAAAGTTGTGGTCAATTAGGGTGGCTGAGAACTGTGTGATCGGGTGGGTTTTTTATAATTAGTTGGGTGTAGCTATTTAATCTGAATTTGCTTATACCTTTTGTCATATCCCGTTATTTTGCTGCTGAAAACAGATATTGAAGTCGCCAGTATTATTGTCTCGCAATTGTTTTCAACTCCGGACAAGACTCTGGAAAAGTCTTTAAGAACTGGGTCCCCTCCCCGGGTAGGAGGGCAGGTAACTAGTTTCCTACTAAGATGGGTTTGGGTCTTAGGAAGAGCACTCAAAACCATAGAAATCTCCAGTTATAGTTTTTTAAATCAGGTCTTGGGTTTGTAAGCTAATATCATTTCTAATGTAGGCACATACTCCACCACCTTTCTGTTATATCTATGAGTTTTATATTGTAACCTTCTATTTTGACCTCGTCGTCAGTTCACCGTATCATCCAACCAAGATTTCAGGGCAGTATCTCGTATGGTTAGGCTGCGCCTAATTTTGTTAGCTAGGAATCCTAATCTCTGCCAATCTTAGGAGTAGAGATCTTGCATTGACATGAATAAAGTGAAGGCCTGTGTCTTTCATAAGGAACAATCATAATCATCAATATATGGCAATTGGGTCATTTGTATTAAAATTAGGTAATCAATGTCATCACTGCTAAAGGGTAACTGTGACAAAGTGCATTTGTTACACACCAAAATGAATTCTGGCACCGTTTCTATAATTGTACATACTTCAATATATAAAATTTTTTTTTTTTTTTTACATTTACTAATTGCTGTAAGTACTTAGCTTTTTAAATAAAAAATATATACTTGTGATTTTTAACTTTGCATACTATCAATACGAACATATTTCAGTTTATTGTTCTGGAAGATCTGAGTCAGTACATCGTCGCCCAGCTTACTTTTCGTTCTCAATAAATCTTCAAAATTATTACAGCTACGCGTTTTAGTTTAGTAATAATTTTAAAATAATTATATTTCCCTAAGATAACCGTGGAAAAAGTGCTGTTACAGTGGAAATAAAGGTAGATTTTCAATAGTATATAGTGTGACGTCATAGGTGAGAGGGCGAGAAGGCGGCCATTCCCGCCTCAGTCTTGACACCAGCAACGCCCAGACTCGTCCTCCTGCACTTTTAATACCGCTATTACTCTCTAAAACCAGTAGTAAGTCTTATTTACTCATGCTTCTACTATAATAAGCCTTCACTGAGCTAATACCTAGCTGGTTTTGTCTGTATTTTTGAATTAACACCATTTCTTAATATATCGTGAGAAATATTTTTTTCTTAATATTGGTGCAGGCATTTTCTTGCTTAATATAATCTGGTGTTAGTGAATGTATCAGACAGGATGCACTTCCTGTTTGTTTGTAATGAAAATAAAATTATATTTTATACATTTACAACAAGACCGGAAATTTAACAGTGGCCGGACTTGAGTCATATTATCAGACCCCAGAGCTATTAAATATTTGTAATGCGTGATTTTTTATTTTTATACAACTCTGGCTTCCCACAGCATAGTTTACAAGCATTAACTTTGTTATTGGAGTAAGTGAAGGTGGTTGATGGGAGAGGTGGAAGCAGCAGCTGTGTAAGTTCCACCTTCATAATACTTTAATAATAATAACTTGTTCACTGTTCACCGCTGTTCTCTTTAGGAAACTCCAAAATTTTACTATTGGCTATAAATCAACGTGGACTTTATAAAGCATTCTGTGGCGCGCCAATAAAAAGTCTTATTGAATATAATATAAATAAAACGTTTAAGGTTATCAACAATGATATGTTAGACGAGTCTTCAAAAATGAGTTTGTGGAGACCGCCATTAAGTGCTGGGGAAGACCGGGGGGTGAGATGTTTCATTTGCTCAATATTTACTGGGATTAGACTGATTATCGATGTATTGAATATATTATATATTACACGCATTGACAATATTAAGAGTGCCGTTGTAGATTTTAAAATAATACAGCTCTGTAGTGTGATAGTGACGTGTGACGTCATACTGAAGTTAAAATGGCGGCGGGTGTTCTCTTTAGAACTATGAAGCAAATGATGGTCTCCATAACCAAGTGTGAGGCGCCACCTGGTTACTTAGGTCACTGAAGCACAAAGATGCTTCATCTGAACAGTTGTAATTGTCTACCTTGTCTTTGTCTGGAGAGCAACGCAGAGGGTCAACGCCCCCGCGGCCCGGTCCTTGACAGGACCGCGGATCAAGGCCTGAGCAACCAGGCTGTTGGTCCTCGCTGCAAGCAGTCTAGCGTACGAGCTGCAGCCTCGCTGATAAGGAACTGACTAGAAACTTGTTAATTTTCCTGAAAGCCAGCAGAGGGAGTTTCAGTAATCTTGTATGTATGGTGGGAAGCTGTTAAATCATGTTTGGGACCCCTTATATTTTGTTCTGTTTTAGTTGTAAAATGGTATGGTGATGCCAACAAACTGGAAAAAGGACAATTGTTTACAGTTCAGGACATTTATTAAAAACTACTCAAGACAGCAAGGATTAACACCAATACATAAAGGTGGTGACCCTACAGATGTAAACAACTATAGGCCAATATCAAACGAGAAACTCGTGCACAGGAGAGAGTATTCATTTATAACGGCACAAAACATACAAAACTCCTACCAATTTGGTTTCAGAAAAAAATAAAAGCACTAATGATGCAATTGTAAAAATGCTAGATCTGCTTTACACAGCATTGGAAAATAAGGAATATCCACTAGGACTTATTGACCATGGTCTGCTGTCAAAAGACACAGCAGACCATGGCATCCTACTCCACAACCTTTACAATTATGGTATAAGAGGCCATGTGCTTGCATATTTCAAATCCTACCTTACTAATAGGTACGAGTATGTCACCATTATCATCAACACAGCCACTTGATACTGGAGTGCCACAGGGAAGTGTCCTTGGTCCCCTGCTCTTCCTCTTATACATCAATGATCTTCCCAATGTATCCCAGCACCTGAAACCCATTCTCTTTGCTGATTACACAATTTGTCATCTCCCACCCAAATCTTGCAATCCTCAACACCAGTGCTAGCAAGGAGCTACTCAAAATCTCTACTTGGATGACAGCCAATAAACTTAAAATTTACACTGACAAAACCTACTGTATTGTTTGGTAGCAGAGCAGGTGTTGCACAACTTAACATAAAGATCAACAACACTAATTGCCAGACATAATGAGGGCAAATTCCTTGGCCTATACCTCGACAACCTGAATTTCAGCACCCATATCCAAGGGGTAGCAGTAATGTTAAATGATCAGTTATGGAAGGAGAAAAGAGAATATGAATGTGTAAATTCAAGAATTATGTGGATTAAAGTAAAGGTTGGATGCGAGAAGTGGGTCATAATAAGTGTGTATGCACCTGGAGAAGAGAGGAATGCAGAGGAGAGAGAGATTGATTTTGGGAGATGTTAAGTGAATCTCTAGGAGCCTTTGAACCAAGTGAGAGAGTAATTGTGGTAGGGGACCTGAATGCTAAAGTAGGAGAAACTTTTAGAGAGGGTGTGGTAGGTAAGTTTGGGGTGCCAGGTGTAAATGATAATGGGAGCCCTTTGATTGAACTTTGTATAGAAAGGGGTTTAGTTATAGGTAATACATATATTAAGAAAAAGAGGATAAATAAGTATACCCAAACTATGATGTAGGGCGAAATGACAGTGGTTTGTTGGATTATGTATTGGTAGATAAAAGACTGTTGAGTAGACTTCAGGATGTACATATTTATAGAGGGGCCACAGATATATCAGATCACTTTCTAGTTGTAGCTACACTGAGAGTAAAAGGTAGATGGGATACAAGAATAGAAGCATCAGGGAAGAGAGAGGTGAAGGTTTATAAACTAAAAGAGGAGGCAGTTAGGGTAAGATAATAAACAGCTACTGGAGGATAGATGGGCTAATGAGAGCATAGGCAATGGGGTCGAAGAGGTATGGGGTAGGTTTAAAAATGTAGTGTTAGTGTTCAGCAGAAGTTTGTGGTTACAGGAAAGTGGTGCGGGCGGGAAGAGGAGCGTTTGGTGGAATGATGTAAAGAGTAGCAAGGGAGAAAAAGTTAGCATATGAGAAGTTTTTACGAAGTAGAAGTGATGGAAGGAGGGAAGAGTATGGAGAAAAAGAGAGAGGTTAAGAGAGTGGTGAAGCAATGTAAAAAGAGAGCAAATGAGAGAGTGGGTGAGATGTTATCAACAAATTTTGTTGAAAATAAGAAAAAGTTTTGGAGTGAGATTAACAAGTTAAGAAAGCCTAGAGAACAAATGGATTTGTCAGTTAAAAATAGGAGAGGAGAGTTAGAGGTATTGGGGAAGATGGAGGGAATATTTTGAAGAATTGTTAAATGTTGATGAAGATAGGGAAGCGTGATTTCGCGTATAGGACAAGGAGGAATAACATCTTGTAGGAGTGAGGAAGAGCCAGTTGTGAGTGTGGGGGAAGTTCGTGAGGCAGTAGGTAAAATGAAAGGGGTAAGGCAGCCGGGATTGATGGATAAAGATAGAAATGTTAAAAGCAGGTGGGGATATAGTTTTGGAGTGGTTGGTGCAATTATTTAATAAATGTATGGAAGAGGGTAAGGTACCTAGGATTGGCAGAGAGCATGCATAGTTCCTTTGTATAAAGGCAAAGGGATAAGAGAGTGCAAAAATTATAGGGGGATAAGTCTGCTGAGTATACCTGGTAAAGTGTATGGTAGTTATTATTGAAAGAATTAAGAGTAAGACGGAGAATAGGATAGCAGATGAACAAGGAGGCTTTAGGAAAGTAGGGGGTGTGTGGACCAGGTGTTTACAGTGAAACATGTAAGTGAACAGTATTTAGATAAGGTTAAAGAGGTCTTTGTGGCATTTATGGATTTGGAAAAGGCGTATGACAGGGTGGATAGGGGGGCAATGTGGCAGATGTTGCAAGTGTATGGTGTAGGAGGTAGGTTACTGAAAGCAGTGAAGAGTTTTTATGAGGATAGTGAGGCTCAAGTTAGAGTATGTAGAAAGAGGGAAATTATTTCCCAGTAAAAGTAGGCCTTAGACAAGGATGTGTGATGTCACCGTGGTTGTTTAATATATTTATAAATGGGGTTGTAAGAGAAGTAAATGCGAGGGTCTTGACAAGAGGCGTGGAGTAAAAGATAAAGAATCACACACAAAGTGGGAGTTGTCACAGCTGCTCTTTGCTGATGACACTGTGCTCTTGGAGATTCTGAAGAGAAGTTGCAGAGATTGGTGGATGAATTTGGTAGGGTGTGCAAAAGAAGAAAATAAAGGTGAATACAGGAAAGAGTAAGGTTATGAGGATAACAAAAAGATTAGGTGATGAAAGATTGAATATCAGATTGGAGGGAGAGTATGGAGGAAGTGAATGGATTCAGATATTTGGGAGTGGATGTGTCAGCGGATGGGTCTATGAAAGATGAGGTGAATCATAGAATTGATGAGGGAAAAAAAGAAGTGAGTGGTGCACTTGGGAGTCTGTGGAGACAAAAAAACTTTGTCCTTGGAGGCAAAGGGGGGAATGTTGAGAGTATAGTTTTACCAACGCTCTTATATGGGTGTGAAGCATGGGTGATAAATTTTTGCAGCGAGGAGAAGGCTGGAGGCAGTGAGATGTCATGTCTGAGGGAAATGTGTGGGTGAATATAATGCAGAGAATTCGTAGTTTGGAAGTTAGGAGGAGGTGCGGGATTACCAAAACTGTTGTCCACAGGGCTGAGGAAGGGTTGTTGAGGTGGTTCGGACATGTAGGGGGAATGGAGCGAAACAGAACAACTTCAAGAGTGTATCAGTCTGTAGTGGAAGGAAGACGGGGTAGGGGTCGGCCTAGGAAAGGTTGGAGAGGGGGGGTAAAGGAGGTTTTGTGTGCGAGGGGCTTGGACTTCCAGCAGGTATGCGTGAACGTGTTTGATAGGAGTGAATGGAGACAAATGGTTTTTAATACTTGACGTGCTGTTGGAGTGTGAGCAAAGTAACATTTATGAAGGGGTTTCAGGGAAAACGGCAGGCAGGACTTGAGTCCTGGAGATGGGAAGTACAGTGCCTGCACTCTGAAGGAGGGGTGTTAAGGGGGGCATCGGGCAATTTGCCGCGCGCGCTCACCGAAAAATCGAAAAAAATTTTGGATATTTAGTTATATATACTGAAAAAAAGCTCAA